GCTACCTGTCGGCCAATTGGTAGACATTATTTCGTCGGATGAGCTAAACGTACGTACGGAGGAGCAGGTGTTCAGCGCCGTGATGAACTGGGTGAAATACAACGTCACGGAGAGAAGACAACATCTGGCACAGGTCCTGCAGCACGTGCGACTGCCGCTACTCGGTCCAAAATTTTTAGTTGGTACCGTAGGATCGGATCTGTTGGTTCGCTCCGACGACGCTTGTCGAGATCTCGTGGACGAAGCAAAGAATTACCTACTCTTGCCGCGAGAGAGGCCATTGATGCAGGGACCTAGGACGAGGCCCAGGAAACCTACGAGACCTACGAGACCTACGAGACGGGGAGAGGTGTTCGCTGTTGGTGGGCGGTGTTCCGATGACGCTATTGCCAGCGTTGAGAAATTACGTGAAGCCGACGCAATGGTAATAATGACAGAAATTGTATTTGCCACAAACTTCGCAAATAAAATATGTGTAACTACTTTCTATTCCAGCAATTGCATAATTTACGCGTACAACTGAGACATAAGGTACTACCGCAGCATGAGATTGAAACACGAGCCGGGTCTCATATGCCAATGCGGGAGGAAATCGAAGAATTTGAAAGAATAACACCATTGAGGAAAGGCACATATTCTTCTGAAGAAAGCGAGAATCGAGATTATCAATAATTGGACAACGATTTGCAAGCTTAGTATGCAAAATTGTTCACTGTGTGTGTGTGATACACACAGTTGTTGTGTTTGCATACTAACTTTGCAAATCGTTGTCCAATTATTAACGATAATCTCGCTTTCTTCAGAAGAATATGTGCCTCTCTTTATACCCTACGAGACTGAATTTTGCTTCCGAGTTTTTGGCCGCCACCATGCGCGGCCTAGCGGCGGTCGGCGAACTACTCAGAGGCTGGCGCTAGCTACGTCTCGCACTTAGCGAAAATGATTTGTTGCAGTAACTAAGATAATTTCAGCAAAAATCGATTTGTTTGATGAACAAAGTAACGATTGCTCTTACACACGACTTCTTTGCTGCATTAGCAAATTTACTTCTTTAAAACGTTTAATTTTGTTCAGCAAACTATAGATTTGCTGAATCAACTAAATCAGTTTTTTCCGTGTTCTGTTTCCTAACGCTGACGACAAGACACAACGAAATTTCTGACTTCTAACTTAATTTTCACATCTCTAATCTGGACGAATCTTGTAAGCCTTGTTATATAAATAATAACACCTTAATTTCCTCTTCTGTTATGTAAGAACTTAGCCTACTTTACTTCATATTTTGTTTATCTGTTCTTCAGACATTTGTAGGCACTCTTGTAAATTCGCTACCTGAAGAGGACCAGGCCGGAACCGTGTGTTTTATTATAATAAAGAATTGCCAGTAAGGTCGTTTCCATACTTAGTAAAATTTTGATTTAATTTACCACTGGTGACTATGAGAACTCTGGAGCGCGTTTTATCATTATATTTGTGTCCCCTGTCCACCGCTCAAGTAGGGCCGACTTGTCACGGAACATCCCGCATGTATACACACATACACATATATATATGTATACAGACTTCATATACACCACGCATGTCGGCGATCCGATTGGATAATACCGATGCACTTTCATCTGATGGATGACCGAACGGTGTACGAACGCGGTGCACAGGCTAATTATTAATTAGGATATCCTATCGTAAACTTTTTGGCGCTGTTTTGGCATGATTTAAATTCGAACGATTTTTGAGCCGTGCCTTATAATCGCTTCTGAACGCAATTTTCCAATTTTCGACGGTACAAACATGCGAGTCGTCGCGCCGCTACTACGATACCAAATGTGTATTTGCAAGAACTTATTTTCGCTTACATCGTCATAAGCTTATCGATATTCATGCTGCACTGTCGTAAAGCAAACGTGTTCGAGTGTATTTGGGTAATAATTCGTGTAACGTGCGTGAAACCTGACGCTGCGTTTACCCGATAAATATGGTTGAGCAAATAATCGTCCGATCATACGAGATGTCAGATAAGTTACCTGGTAAGGGAAAGAAATATTTCAACTCTGTGAAAACTCACGAAACGAACGACTCAATTTTCCTGCTACCCGGTGTTCGGTATCTACATAGTATCATTGCCGCCCTGGTTGTTTTCAGTCTCGCTAATTCCTGCTTTTAACGCGAATGTTGTGCAGCTGTCGGAAGATATTGACACGCCGACGATGTCATCTTCTTCTTCTCGAACGTATGGCAGAGCGGGCTAACAAGGGGCCGAAATGTTCGTCTACCGGTCGTTTGCTACTGTATGGAACACACAGTCAGATGATGCGATAGTGCGTGGTCCAATAGAATAGGAGTGCCCGCAGCCAATTCTGTACTAGCATCGCCGCAATCGTCGTCGCAGTCGAAGTAGTTGCTCTGTAAAAATAATAGCAAATGTTAGTTGCAATAGCACTTGGATTTCATTCGAGTCAACGAAGCGTATAAAGAAAACGTGCTCAAGAAACATTATTAGTAGTGCATGTATTATTACATTATAATAAATTAATACACTTCTAATAAATTACTATACTTTTTTCATTCGAATATATTTCTTTGTATAAAATAGTAAAAGTGTATAAAAATATATATGTGTTATTAATGTATAAATATCTTGACAACGATATACATACGTAATGGAAAATTAATTAATAGTCCCTAGTTATTAAACCAACGATGTAACCACTGACGTAGCGCTAACAAAAATTTTATAACTCACAGCTGAAGTTTATAGCTTTTACATTAACGGTCTTTGCAACCAGATGGAATCAAATCAGAATTTTCCGACCGTAGCTAACGAACCCAGAAGTGCAGGCCAAAATGGAACAGTGAAAAAAGTTTGTTCCGCGACGAGTAATCCGTAACAGAATTGTCCAATTAGTATACAAACTAGCCAATATCAACTTTATTTGCGTGAATACAATTATTGACGTTGCGGCATTTTGTCTGCAGCAACCGCCTGCGCGACGTAATTGGCTTACACGAAAAAAAAGAATAGACCGTAAATATTAATGAAATCTAATATTTCTCGATTAATATTTTCAATAAAGTTTTTAACTTACAATATGGCCTGGCATTTCAGTACATACAAGCAAACGCGACAAAACGTACCTTTTTGTTACTATGAAAGTTTAAGGATCGCGTGGAATTTCGTATTTTTGTTCGCTCAAATAATCAAATCTCTAGGTGAACCAAAACTTCGGCTCTTAAGATAATAAATTTATTATCAAATTTTATTCGAGATTCAGTAACTTTGTGAGTTTTTAATATATCAAGTTCGACGCATCGTACATCACGATGTAGTCATATCATACGAGAAACTGCACACAAAAACTCATAGCAGAGCGTGATGTACGTTGTGCCGAGCATAAATCATAAATGATTACCTGGCAATCGATGCACCGACAGCTATCGGTCAGCGAGCAAGTGAGGCCGAGAATCTCGACAGCTTCCTTGTAAAGCTCGGCGCTCGACTTCCGCCGCCTTGGCGGCGACGTAGGCGCGCTGACTGTGCCAGTGCCCGATGGTCTCCTGCTGCTCTTCAGCCTCGACGAGGATTCTCGAGACAAGGAGGAGGTCGACGTTGATCCCCCCGGCCGATTGTCGCTCGTGAGTAACGCTCTACCTGCCGGAGATGCGAACAGTTGCAGCATGTCCATGTCCTACGGTCATACATTTACTAATTAGTGGATGCTATTTGCGTAATAATCGCGTACAACACGCATATATAATGTCCACAATATGTCAGTCTCATAACATATATCAATTAATAAAGTACACCGGGATCGCATGTTTTCTTATTGTAAAAATTCGCTCATGTAAAGAAGATATTTTGTTAAAGATACACTGGGTTTTCTTTTCAGTAATTCTCGCTATCTTTCGACAATTTGAACAATAGTTTTAAATTCTGCCAATCAAATTTTTCTTCGGAAATTGAAGAAACGACATTGAAGTTTCAACGTGAACGATGCGTACAACGCTATTCTGGAATTGCACAAGTACAGTGTCCAGCGAGGCTAAAACGAATGCTTGTTATAGAAGCGAAGGATACTGTGTCCCTGACAAGCTAACACTCTCAACGAGAATATCCTTTCCCAGAGTCCTATTCGTTTTGGATCGCGAAGGCTCTCATTCGCAACGCACCCCCGGGCGACTTTTCTAACAATGGCGAGGGTACCGTGAATATTATGACAATGAAAAACGTGCCGTATCTCAGAGATGGAAGAGATGTGTTATTAAAATCGTTATATTAAACAATCGGTGCAATGTTCACGAATGTTATTTTCTAGTGTGGCTTTTTACAGAAAATCCCGTAAAGACACCTTTCCGTGCTTTTCGCTCTCAGAAGCAGAAAATTATTAAAATTACGTTATTAAACTAGCGAGGACTGTACGAGTATATCACATTTTTTAATTTTATATCTTAGTATTTTTCCCTTAAAGGATGCATCTTCACGAATATGTAAGGCAGACGTCTTGCGGCGGTGCTCCACCACCTCTTTTCGCCCTTTCGGGGCTTGAAATATATACTTGGAAACTTTTAATATAAACGTGATATTAAAATTGCAGGACCGCGCGCCGAGCATTCGTTCGTACATTATTATTTCAAACTCATCTGATAATGATCAAACTTCTATATTCGAAGAAAAATTTTTCGTCGTACACACAACTTGCCCTCATTCCTTACGGTCAGAAATAAACTGCAGACAGATCATTAATATAGCACTACGTGCGGTGTTTTACAAGGGAAAACTTCTCGTGCGTAAAACAGGGGGATATGCCGAGAGCTCAAACGCGAACTCGGATGACGGCGACATTTAGAGAGCGATTTGCTTAATCACAAGGGGATCATTAAAAATTGCTCACTAAAATGAGCGTATTCACGAAACGAACGACCATTGTAGGGTCCCCGAATCGTTCCACCGGAAGGAAATAATTGGCGAGAACGAATAATTGAATTCAGCTTGAAAAGTTGGAGAATTTCGGACGGAGATATCTCAATTTTCATCTTGGGGCGTGAACAATTTTCCACTTGTGCGAAACTTCGCGGCTCTTGCGCAGGTACCGTTCCGCCAGTGCGTCGGGAAAAACCGTAATTGCACCGGGTTGCTTCCACGCTTTCCGCTATTATCTAGCTAGCTCAATGCTTGCTTACTCGTATTTTCGTCGGGAAGACTTTACATCGGGTTTGCTGAAAATCACATTGAAACTAGGTACGATCAACGAAACCGGGACGAAGTGGTTTTCGAAGTATTTTCAGGCGATCGCCGCTCGCGAGCTGTTACACGTCGTGAACTCTCGCCGAAAATGCAAGATACACTTTCGGCGAATCCAGGCGAGCTTCATCTACGAGCACTGTCGAAGTAGCTTAAGCTCTCCGCTTAATGTACCTCGATCTACGAGAAGTTTAAGAAGGAAAATGGAAGTCCCCGTACAATCCAACGGGATGCTGCATTCGGTGCAACTGAAATTCGTTAAAGGATCTCAATTCGTTTCAATATCGCAGAAAATAATAAACGCGAAGAAGCAATAAAAAAATCTTATTGTCAGAGTAATCTCATCGTCGATGTGAACTAATTAAATAAACTTACGGTCAATTTTTAATTATGTAATTAAATTGATTAACTCAATTACGAAAATTATATTATTGAAGGGGCGCGAATAATCTGCGAACTTTTGTTCAGATTTAAAGCTACAAAATTATCAATCACTCTTTTAAGCTCAAAGTTCCTTCCTTAATATTATCCAGTAGGGAAGAAGGGATGAAAGCGGCGTCCTTAACCCTTTACCGCGGCTGATCAATTCTGCACGTCCCCGCGTATCGGGCGATTATATCACGGGAAACAAAAACTTTCTCTCCGGCCATTTCCCGAGCAGCGAGAGCGCGATCTTTATTTTATCACATTCAAGGGCGACGCCTGAAGGGAACGTCATCTTCAGGGTAGTCGACGACGAACAAAAGAGGTCGACGGAAAATGGCAAAAGAGATCAAATGGTGGGCGCGATAACAAGCGCCAGGCTGATTCGATGTTACCGAGTGTACAGTGGAAGACAGTATCCCAGGCCGATCCCTCGGGACGCATATCCCGTCGGTCTTGGTATTTTCAGCTGCGCGCGAACTTTTCTCGAATCCTTCAACACTGATAGATAACCCGGTCGAAAGGGCGGACTTGGATAAAACGACCGACGAAGACTTTTTGCCCGCGAGGAAACGGATTTTGCAGAGGGAGTTTATGTAGTGGGGAAAGAAATAATTTTTACTTGATGTTGAAAAATGTACTGCGAGATACAGCACCCCCTAAAGATATATTATCCATTATGTTTCGCCTCGCAAAATCGCGCGGAAAAATATTCCATTTGGACGAATCCGCGCGTTATTATTGAGACAGCTTCAAAAATAGATAACACGTTGCAGAGCGAATAAAAAAAAACGTCTTTTTTTAGGCTTCGAATTTATCCCGCTCCAATTTTCACAAGATTAAGTGCAGAAATAATATCCCGTTTGTGAACGAATCCGCGGATTACATGAAATTAATTATGTATACGCTTCGTAAATAGATAATACATTGCGCTGTGTAAAAAATAAAATCTTTTTTAAAATACTTTTAATTTCCCTGCCCCAATTCTCTTGTCAGTGAGGTCTCGTTATTTTTATATTGCCCATCGATTTTTATTGACAGCACAAATTATTGATCCGCAGAATATTTTTGTATCGTCAAAATAAAAGCCATTAGACCTTCTATATACTGAAATTGAGAATTTGACCATCCGGAAATTGAATTTCGGTATGCTTTGGATAATTAGCTTCAATATTGATTGGGCGTAAGCATGGTTTATTGGTTAGCCGGCGGAAAATCGGGTAAATCAAGGGTATTGCAAGCAATAGGGTAGATTATAACGGCAACCTTTCCAATTTATATATACGCCGAATAACCTAATTGTTCACAAATTGTCCCAATTGCCTTCACCTGTGTGAACCGACGAATCAAGAATTATGTTAATTTCAACCAAGGGAAAAAAAGAAAGTGGAGCAAGATCGATCGCGCGACTTAATCATCCAGAATTAATTTTATAATATAGCAATTATGCGTTAACTCATATTATAACTGTTGCCGTTATCATTCAGCAAACACATTTGCCTAATGAAAGAAAGACTTTTTAATTTACAGGGCAATTAGCAGAGAATAAAATCTCCCTTTGTTTCTCTGTATTAATTAGCGTTACATGTTAAATTGAAAAGCCGAAGATTGCGATAATGGAAGCGATAGCGGCAAGCTCGCATTAACAAAAATAGCTTTACAATAACGTTTCCCTCCCGTTCCCATTAATGCGCATCAATTTTCCAAATACCGAATCGGTATCGTTATATCAACGTTATACATCGCATAAAGCTATCGTTAGCGTTCGCAGCATTTACGGATTTATGAAACGCGTTTAATGCCGCATTATTTTTCGATTTAATTCCCTTCTGTACCGGATATTAAATATTTCCGGCGCAATCCAACGTCATTAAACAGCAAACGTGTTTTGTCGTATGTACACGCACGGCTCTCGCGGGGCTTTTCCGATCCCTCCTTTGAAATTATTGTTTATAACTCCGGCCAGAGAATCCGCGATAGTGCCCGGCTGCGTTTTGCCCGTCCGGGAGAGGCAGCATTCGCTCCCGCGTTGTTAATCCCCCTTGTAACCCCTGTCAACAGAAACCATCGAGAGGCGACTGCTAATGAAGAGAACCCATCTAATTAAGTTAATTAATGCCGACAGAAGCTCTATAGGAAACTTTCGATAAAGGGGTGAAAACGGGAGGGCGGGAGGACACAGGCGCGCGCGCGCGCGCGCACGCACGAGGACATGTCGGACGATTTGCGAAACAGGATAATTATGTCGGTTTTCGCGTGCCGTTGGGCGGGTAATAGGAGAACATTGTTCGCCAGGGATGTTTAGGTGAGATTAATACCGCGGGGTGGTGTCGTGCGCTTATGCGGCCAGATTAATAAAGCACGCCCATGGCAAATCTACTTTTATTGAAACTGGGATTTTTATTAAGTCCCCTTGGACCGAGCACGCGTCCCGCTCGCGGCGATCATGATCCCGCTTCTTTGTTCCACGGGAGCGATAATTGTCACGTACGAATGAGAGAGGTATTTATCCGCGATGTTCCGCTGGATCGTTAATAATAATTTACGCGAAGGAGCTCCGCTAGGAAAATTTATCTGCGAATATAATAACTGATTAGAATATATCGTTATGGCAGTTCTTGCCGCTACATCGATGTACGCGGAGACAATTTCCTGTTAAAATTTATCCTGAAAATCGTGCAATCGTGGCACAACGCGGCATTTTGAGGAATCTCACGTGTTTCTTGAAATTTTTCCATACAATTCGCTGGTAATTTTATTTAGTGTACATTTCAATAGTAAAATGTACGGTAAAATTTCGAAAAACATTTTCCACGATTACATGATTTTTCAGGGTGTTTTAGGAGAAAATTATCTCCGTGTATCATGTTTCGATTGAAAAAAAAATCTGCAACATAATCGTAAAATGAAGCATTTTACGTATAAAACATAATTTAATACAAATATACGGGATTTATGACAACGGCCAAAGCAGAGATAGATCTATTTGGACGTATTTTTGTAGAACGCGTAAAAACAACACGCGCAACGGTGCGTAAAAAGGGCTTTAATTGACACAGATGACATTCGCTTAATTAATGCATTTTTCCACGCTTCGATGCGTATCGTGCACCGTACATGTATCGCGACGCGTTTCTTTTCTACTCTTTTTTTTTTAAATCGCTGTCGCATACGCGATGTCCAAATAATTGCGGGAAATCGCTCGAGAGCTCGCTACATATTCGCGTCGCGCTGCCGATTTCGCACTAATGCAAATTACCAAACGAAATTACTAAAGCTAATGCGCGAGTCTAAACGAATGCACTATCATTGTGAACGAAATGCTTTCCGCATTAATTACCATATCACGGGGCACGTTTAGCCGGTACTTTGTAACATCTGCGGAGCATTCCCAAATGTATTGTAATCACGTTCGTTAAGTCACGTTGTTGCTGATGGATTATTCGAATAATAACATACCGGTGGTATCATCGCGCCGATCGACTTCGTAGCAAATTTATACATTCGCGAACGCGCGCGTTCGCGCTCGCGAACGTGATTACGATAGTCCTCGTTCCTGCTATAATTATTATGACGATGATTGTTCCGTAAAGGATACACGAATACATGTATGCAACGCGCAAAATGTCGCATAAATGTTTGAACGATGCAATTTCGGTCTGCGCGATTAAATGGCTTAAGAGCCTTGAAATGAGATAATTTCGTGGTGATTTCGCCCAGATTTTGACAGGCGTGGGGATCGATTGAGAATGATACGAAAATTCTCGAAAATATCACTCCTATATGTAGTTCTCTGCTTCCCGCAATACCTACATCTCTTTTATCGTGCGTTTGGCAAGAATCTTGTGCACGTTACTGTTAGCGAGGCATGTAACTCACATTACGAGCAGATAATTTTATCTGTGGAACAATATTTGGTAAAGCGATACCTTACTTATAATGTATATTAATTTATTCGTTGCGCAAATAATCGCAAAAGCTTTTGTGCCCGACAATGAATACTAATTTAACAATAGCAATATGTGTACAACAGATAATTATGCGTTTGTTTAATATAGCAGTTCCTAGTCGATACGCATTATGGCGATTAACGTTGTCTAGGAACGACTACGCGAGCGCGTGAAAACCTAACTGACGGATCTGCACGGGTGTGCGTTTGCAGTTGTACGCGCGAATTGTTCCGAAACATTATTTAGTAAGAACACTCATTTACTAGCAAATGGTTTGGCGGATATGAATAAATTTCGCGGCTGTTTACCACACGACGTGTTAACGAGTGCGAAATTCGAGGCTCGCGTGTTACTTGAATTTAATTGGTACCGCGGTCGGCATATCTTTTTTCATCGGGCATAATTAAAACTTAGTTTAACGAATAACAAGTAAATACCACTGCTATTGTTCGTAAACTCTAACGCAAATTACAGCTATGCGATTGTTTGATTAATTGCATTACGAATATTCAATTAATCGGTTATCGTCATTGGGATCTATGCGTTATTATGCATCGAGCAGCGCGGAGTTTGGCTATGCAATTATAGCAATAATTGATGGGATCTAATCGAGAATCGCATGGCCATTAGAACGTAAAATAATGGCATCGTATAATTGCTTATTTTGCGCGCGCAAAACTGAGCCTTCCCGAAGTACACGTTTTCCAAATTATCGTGTCCAGATAATCAGCTTTTACCGCGATGCATTTTATCGATCTCGCGATTAGATAAGAGATATTTTAGAGCGCGTTTCGAATTACTCCTGTGTTTACCGTTTATCACCGTTATTTAGCCTGTTTACCACTTCGATTACAGGACTCTACGTGATTACGACGATAACAGTTACACTAAATGATGCATTCTGCAGCAGCGTTTGCGGTTAACGGTCTGATTACGTATTGTATTGCACGCGCTGGCGATGGCTTGTTTGCCGAATTAATTCTCTTCAAATATGTGCGCGTACAAGTTAAGCCGCCAACAATCGCTTTATGATGAAGTAAGAAAGCTATCTAGTCTAGATACAATATATTCGTCATTTATGTAAAGTGCTGTTTATTACTGACTTCCGTCATTCCTAATATTGTCCCACCAATTAGCGTAAATTATTAAAAATGTACAGTCAGTTTTAGTATAATACGAGACAAATACAAATAACTGTGCGGTTATTCCGATCACGATGATTCGGATATGGAAGCGACCCCGGATCACGAGGGGATCGCAATAACAGCTGTACCTAAGTGGCCTATTACGTGCCGAATTGTACTCACCGGCAAGGATTCAGGCGTGTGGTCCAGCACGTATATGCTGTTCGTGTAACCGTACAGCATCGTGTCCAGATCTGAAACCCAAGGAGAGCGGACAGCACATTAAATTGGATCCAACCGGTTGCGAGCTGTGCGGCACACTAATGCCGGTAATACCCGCGCGTACTCACGCTCGCGGCCGCGCCACCGCAGTATTCTAATTTACGCTGGATGCAGCGTAGCACAGAGCAATTTCCTAACATGCTCGCTCAGACCCCCGATGTCCTTTCCTTACTGTCCCTGCAGCCCTGTATTTTCTTGGGGCTTGACGAGTCCTTCTAACATTATCTTACTACATCGCGTTTGACTCGCTTCAATGTTTGCGTACATGCAACTTTCTTGTTACTACGAGTATATTACGTTGCGTTATGCAACATTGTGTATACAGTTGTGCGTCAGTTATTACAACTGTTAAGTGATAAATGTGTCTTTAATAATGACGGAATTGGCATGAATTTTGGATAAAATAATTTCCCATAGAACAACTTGTCCAAATGTAACTGACCAATGCCGCAGCATTGATTGTAAATAACGCAGACGCAATAACCGTTGAAGGGCTAACGAGCTTTTTTTTCGCAGTGACGCTTGTTGTTTCAGCGGAAAAAAAATTATTATCGGCAGCGAAAATAATTGAGTGGTGGCAAAAGCATTGCGGTCGTTGCAACACGGTTGCGAAAACTTTAACAGCGAGATAGCGGTCGATCGCGCCATCAGAGAACCAATACTTCTGTCAGTACAAAATTTAGCGCTTCGATCATGTGACTCAAAATCACATAGTTCGGCCACCAATTTACATTGTTAATAATTCCCTGTTACAACGGGATACAACGGGCAAGTAATGTAAACGATGATGTTAAAAGCGTGTGTATTACATATTCAATAATATTAAACGTTAAGAAAAAAGCCTCTGCCATTTAATAATTAAATTAATTACACAGTAAAAAATAAAATGTTAACATTAACATTTTTACGTGTCCCCAAAAGTCCACTCTAAGTTTTAACAGTTGAACACACGATTTTTTACTGTGTATAATTAATATACAAGGAGAATAAATTTATTTAATTATTCTTATGTTATACGTGCAACATAATTAAGTCTGCAATCAATTACAATTAATCATTGTAAATATTTTCCGCCAGATATAAAAGCTTCCTCGCCTTCCGTGACTCCCACGCTACCACTCGGACGCGTTTTCCGAGAGAATCGTCGTTAGATTTCGCAAGCAATATTCTGAAAAGATCGCTGAATGCTCAAACAGTTGTATTCATAACGCGATGACGTCTTCTATCGACGATTTATGAATCGGAAGCTGTTGGCAGATATAACGGGGCAATTTTTCAAAAATTATTGCGTGATATTCTCCGAGCGAACGAGGGGCACTTGGGATCTTGATAACGATTCATTTCGATCGAAAGGTTCTCAGCCTTCGACCTCGTCTATTATATTACATTCGCGTATCGTCCAAACGGATATACGAGAATCAATCGGATCCAACGGACGGCCGATTTACGATGAAACGCTGCGACTCGCCCGTTTCCGTACCTCTTTTCTGAAGGATATGCGGCACGTTACTTCAATGATTCGGTGGGAATTTCAATTTGCGAGGATGGCATTGCGTTGCTAAAAGGCATTCGTCCAAAACGCGCAGGGTCACTTTGAGGCCACTGGACGCTCCGGGCTAACAGAATTTGTCGCGGCACTTTACGCCGTTTCAAAAGAGTGAACGTACGCGTGTAAATTTGGGCTTGAAATACTGTCGAACGAACGGAGATAATTTTGAATTTAATCTAGTAGCGTTTGCGGGCGAGAAAAGAAAAGATTTAGATAAATGTGATATTGCGTTACATTACAAAGAGAGAAATTTTTTTATTGCGAGAAGCAGTGCGTTTGTAGAACAATATGGATTAAATTTTTAACTTTCAGTAGAAAGGCTAGAATTTGTATCAAGATAAACGGAAAATTATGTGTGCGCTTAAAGAGCAGTTCGTTCTGCACGATATATACAGAGAGACAGAAACGCGTAAATTAAGAATCATGAATAATTCGACGCCGGGGATCGTTTCGAGACACAATTTCGTAATGATGTTTAATCGCGCGAGTGCGACGCGAAATAACGCGATGCCGTGCGTACACGGCGATAGAGAGCCGGCGCAAAACGATTGGCGAGAGAGATTTATTGTTTCTGGTTCATTTAGACTCGGCTCGCCCGAGAATTCCGACCGAAATTGCTTGACTGAAAACCGATCTCTCGTTACGCGAAGTATCGCTGTGAAAGATTTCATTTCCATGATAACGCTGTTTGAATGGACAATATTGTTACAATCAACATTGGCGGGCATTCACGCGCAGAATCGTTCGGCACAAAGATCACTACGTATTGCCAGAGAAGATGACAACAGCGAATGTTCGCTTCAGTTAAACAAAAAAATAAATAAATGCGAAGTTATGAAAACGAAACTTGCGAATGTCTATTCGAGTATTTCAAAGTTCCAGCTGCAATATGAATTACAAACAAACGCTAATCTCCACGGCAGCGAACGTTAATTTGTCAAGCAAACAAAAATAGCCCAACAAGGTCCAGGAGAGCTTATATATAGAATGTATATACCTAGGAAAAGTGCCCGCGGGATGGAAACGGTGTATATTTAAAATATTATCGGCAAACAAAATTATTGATCCGAAAGGCTCATTAATATAACGTTACGTCTAGATCGTTCGTTCTAATGAAAACTTGTCCGCGCGTATTATATCGAAATAATTAATAATATCAATTTATAATAAATTCACGACAGATACAGCACAGTGAAAATTTAATAATGTTGTCTTTGTGCTTTATGGTATATCGCGATGGATGGCTTTGGCTGGAATGTATACAGATTGCCCAGACGCAGAGGTACTGGGCGAAAGAGGCGGAAATACAAAGCTGCGGTGCACACAATGGCACTCCGAATTGCGTCCATAAACCGCATCGCCATTGCATACCGCAAATATCGAAATTGTTTCACGCTACTGATATATGTCCCTCCACCTCCCATATTCTTCGCGTGTCGCACGAGCTGTAATCGGCTACAACCCCTATGGTGTCGGTTACGGCCGGTTTGCCTTACTTCCCATGCATTCACGTGCCATGACAGTGCACCGGTTAAAAACTTTCCACGTAAATTACCGCACTTGAATTGTGCTACACAAATTCGTATCGCAAGTTCACGGGATATTTCCGTCGTCTTTGAACGCCGAAGACTTGGCAATTATTTTTCAAAGGGCTGAAGCTACACGTCCACTTCGAAGATCGGCCCCGTTTGCCTCGGAAAAGAATGCCGCGAGCGATCGTAATATGCGACTACAGTACGCTCGATGCAGCAATGTTCCGTGAATGCATCGCGAGTAACGTGAGCGCAACATCGAGCCAATCTTGACAAATCTCCTTGTGTTACATGATAGACGACAGTTGTCGACGTGGCCGAAGCCAATTCTCCCTATGTTCTGTCACGTGTGTGCCCTCGTTTTTTGCGCGAGACGAGAATGCATTCTATATTTAGAATTTGGCTTTGACCAATTTTTAACGCAGAATTACGCTCGCGGGTGATATCGTGAATTTTCAACAAAACAATCATCCAATCGCTACGGTGGAGCGTGACCGAAAAAAATAGAACGAGTCATTCGTGTTTGCGACAGGAATCGTGAATTGATCTATCGAGTTATTTAAAAAATTCTCTCTCTCTCTCCGCGCGAGAGATTGTTGAATTCACAGATTCCTATTGTCACCTCTCAATCCCCCCCCCCCCACTCCCCAAAAAAACAGAGGGAGAGAAAGGGAGCAAGTCAAGTAAAACAATAGAGATTGACAGTGCGAGAAGATATACTGCACAAATAATTGTTCGTTAAATAAGGAATTGATAGAGGAACAAAAATTCTACGTTAAAATGTAAAGAGAGCCTTTTCCTCATAATCAATTTCTCAAATTGCTTTTCTTTAAAAGAATTGTAGATGTGTACCGACGCTCATCTGGAGATGCTTCCTGGAGATATTCGCCAGGACATAAAGAAATCGAAATGAGCGCGCGGCACATCAGACCGCGAGAATTTATTGCTAATTACTTTTCTAGCCGTGGCCGTTCGACTACGAATACCATTTATCATGGATTTATCGCTGTTACTTTTACCCTCCCTGGTGAATACTCGGTTAAATGTGCGCAGATATGTATTTGAATATCGCGATATGACGTGAAAAATGCGACTTGTGGCTACTAATTGCCACGAGATACAAAGCCTGGTCCTTCGAGATAACAGAAGACGAAAATAAGACTTTGATACAAAGGACTTATGATTAAATTTAACAAACGCGCTTCGCGCACATTGCTCGCAAGCTAAATCCTTTCTAACATCCTCGATCGCCTATTTCTATTTCAGAGAGTGACTAAAGCAAAATGACACAGAAGCGCAATGCTGTCCACACAGGATCCAATCAGAATGACCAGAGTGACTGCAAATAAGGAAATTGGACGAGAGACAATGCGCCGCACAGGAAGAGATTTGTCAGCACGTAGAATCATTACGAGATATCGAGCGGCGGCGGCGGCGGAACGAAATGATCGCTTACATCACCGCTAGCTCTGTGACAGAATATTTGATCTACAGCCCCGACAAACTCACGATCCTGAGGATGACAGCACATGAAAGCTTCTCAGAGGCACCGAAAATGCTGCACGGACAACGCCTACAAGTAGTCCAGGTCGCTCGGTTGCTGTGCGTGCAGACGCACACCGTGCTCTGACCACCGCAAATATTAAACGTTATTTCATTACATTTTAATAGCAAACATTTGTACAGAGCAAAATGCTATACAAACTACTCGTGTAGCACAATATGCCTTAATATACTATTTTTAATGTCACTTTCTACACATATTTTTGTAAACGTATTATACTGTGTACACTAACAACGATTTAGTTCTAATAATTGTTTTTAATAAAGAATTAATAAAGAAGTGCCAGTAAAGCCGCTTCTACACTTATTTTATTTCTTAATTTCTCGA